TGCCAAGGGCTTGAGGCCATTGGTGTGGCTGTAGGCTTGGTACAGGGCTAGAGCAGAGGACCCATGGTGGTGAGGGTGCTGTGAGAGCGTGGATACAGCGACAAACTCCTGGGCATGTGGCTCTGCCGCCTGCTCTCTCTTAATTCCTGTCTTCTCCTCCCCAGGCATGGGCATGGAAGGAGAACTTCCTGGAAGTGGGGACTCTGGAACGCTATACAGTGGAGAGGACTAACTCCGGCAGCAGGGTGCTGTCCACGCTCACCATCAACATCATGGATGCCGACTTCCACACGCAGTACAATTGCACCGCCTTCAACAGCTTTGGGCCGGGCACTGCCATCATCCAGCTGGTAGAGCGAGGTGACTGGCCATGCTGGCTGCCCGGCCTGGATCGCAGGGCGTCCTAGGGGTCGGACGCTCTCTTCTCTCTCGGAGGCAGAGCTCACTTACCTGCTCCCTCTCTCCTTCTAAATCTCTCTTCTTTACCTCTCCACCAGAAGCTGGCCTTGGTGCCCAGTGGGAGAAATTCACTGAATTTGTGAGGGTTTATTGAGAATTTCTTGTGCCAGCCTTGGCACAAGGGGCTCTAGGAACAGCCATGAATGAGACACAGGCCATGCCCACAAGACACCCTCAGCTTAGTGAGGGAACTTGCAGGGGAGGAAGCGCATTCATGCAGATGGACAAATAAGATCCACACAGAGGTAGGGTAATAGCTATTGACCTCATCAGGTTGCTGGGAGGATTAGCTGACAATATTTGCAAGATGCCTGGTATACAGTAGATGCTTAGTAAGTTTGAGTTCCACCTCCTTAAGAAATCTCAGTCTGAGGGCCAGGAAAATAGCTCAGTAGAATAAGTGCAAGAGCCTGAGTTCAATCCCCAGTTCTGCTAAAAAGAAAAATCTCAGCCTGGCTGGACAGACACACACCTTCCTTTAGGCACTTACAACAGGACTTTGAGGTTAGGACCCTCCCTAGTCTGTTAGGGCAAAGATAGTATTGTGGGTTATTTGGTTTGTTTTGTTTTGGCTGTGGAGTCCTTGCTGTTGGCCAGGGAGCTTAGGAAGCCCTGGAAAAGCTGTCCCTTCAGGTTTA